TATTTTTCATTTTTTTCTACATATGTGTTATGCAACTGCAATAAGGACATTTCCCCTCTGTGGGATGAATAAAAAGTCTGAATCTGAATAAACCCATATGTGTGTTTTCTACCATATGTCGACGGTTATTCAATTAAAAAGAAAATTAAATTCCTTTGACCGTGTATGAAACTAATTTTGTGCAATAGAAACATTATTATTCTTTGTTTTGTTGATGGAGGTCGATAGAGCCTTTGCAGGGATCCATGTAAGCACCTTCAGTTAAACTACCTGTTCCTCCTGGATGTAGTAAAGTAAAGTAATTGTTTTTACCTGTATTTAATGCCCTGCTAAAGAGTGTCGAGGCTTTACTTTAACCTCCTAATACCCGCACATTGATCAAAGATGAGACGTGAGTGAGAACATGGTTTTATTTAATGCATCAGCAGCTTTTCAAACATGTTTCAACTCAACTTGGCACAACTTTATTAAAAGTCTAATGGGAATAAAAAGAGGAAGTAGTTTCATGAAGCATCCCAGTGGTGGGACAGGAGGAGGTCGTCCCTGTCAGGCTGTCAGTCCTCCAGGAACCTTCAGCACCATCTGGATCTCGGACATGTGCTGGATTCCAAATTTGGAGAGCAGCTCGTAGTCTCCGTCCAACATCAGGTTTGTGAAGATCAGTCGCACACTCTCCTCTTCTGCACACACACACACACACACACACACACACACACACACACACACACACAGTAAGTCATATTTAAGCTTATAGTTCAGGAATTAGTTATTAGCATTACATTTATACCCCAAGTGAAAAATGAAGGATAAATCCCTTAAAGGTCCAGTGTGTAGAATTCAGTGTTATCTAGTGTTGAAGTTGCACCCCCCCCTCACCTCACCCTCTCCTTATTTTACGTTGACTTTCTGCCAATAGGTCCCTTCCACGTAAATCTGACACACTGGGCCTTTAAACGCTCCTGCTTCAACAACATGCTTCATGAAAACTGACTGACAAACAACAGGAAACTTTCAGAGACTATGTTCACCTCCTTCATTTAAAAACATGAAGTGACAGACTCTCTTCAGCTCTGTGGGTTGATTTAAATCTCACTTTGAGCGTTTACCTGCGTTATGGGGAAGTTTCTGCAGAATCTTCTCCTTCAGCTGCAGGACCGTCATGCTCTGCATCTGCTCGTCCGTGTTACACAAATCGATGATAAGCTTCTCGCCCTTGAAACCGATGACAACGACTTGGAAGATTTTGCCCATTTCTCTGCTGTTAGCTCAGTGCACAACTCGCCTGCAGTCTTTCCATCTGCTCTGCCTCTGTTGTCGGCGGAGGCTGGTTTTTAGATTAGTAACTGGGTGGGGACAGAAAACACAGGGAGATGCTTTCACTTTCATCCGGGTCGAAACACGCACTTTCCGTTTCGCCGTCCCCCCTGAGCTCTTGAAGCTGAAACAGAACGGTTTTGCAGGAGCAGGAGTCAGGAGCAGGAGTCAGGAGCAGCCGCAGACTCCGGTCTCCGCTCGTCAGACAAAGAGGAGCTGAGTTCAAGATGACCACAGAGGAGAAGAGATTCGACCCCAAGGACACCACACTGAAATTCGTTAACAGGCCTGACGATCTAGATCCAATGCGTAAGAAATAAGACTTTAATTATTGACCATTTATTTTTAGGATTCATGTTTATTACTTTCATTAAGTTAAACAAAGTAGATGCACTGTGTTCATGTTTTTTATCCTCAAACTATTATTATTATTACTGGTGCTGCTATCATTATGAACAACTGCTCCTGGTCTATGAATAATAACAATAGATGTTATTTGTAAAGCAGAAAGTCAAGACTGGAAGGACACACTAAAAAGACTAAAAAACATGGATAGTAAATAACATTGTCACGTATTGAAAGCAGATCTGAGCAGGGGTTTTAAAGAGTTCATTGTCTGCTCTTGTTGTTGTCCTGAAGCCCCAGAAGAAGGAGACTTGTGTCTCCGAGCAGAGATGTCGTGTGGTCATGCCGTCACCCCAGGGTCCCTCACCGGGTGGTGTCGCAGCCTCCTGGATCAGGTACTGTCCACCATCACACTTTCACAGGCTTCTACTCCACGTTAGAAGACTCAGACCCAGAAACTGTCTCCTAAAACAAATCATTTCTTTAGTTGCAGTGAATCACAGAGATTTATTGGTGTTTTACAGTGAGTTTCAGTCACTGTTTAGCCGCCTGTCCCCCAACTACTTCCCTCAGGAGATGGAAGATTGAATACTCAGCTGTATATTAGCTGCATTACACAGATATTGCTCCATAGCTTCATGAATTTGTTAATAATCATGCGTGAACAAATTTACAAGATGAATTTACGACCTCTTGTAATGTCAATCTGATTTAGGCTCATCATGTTTTTGACCGGTTAATGTGTTCTTCTTTTGATTTCAGGGCCAGTACAAATTTAAGTGCCCCGCTTTAAAGGACGGCAGCTTGTGTAATAAAGAGTGGTCTTATCAGGAGGTGCGCAAGCTGGCAGTGCTGACCACTGAAGAGATGGCGTACTTCGAAGAGAACATCGCTCGCATGGCTGCCGTGGAATTCTGTGAATTCAAAGCAGTGAGTGTCCCAGTGTCGTCTTCACCTTTGAAAAGATACAGACTGATTGATGTGGGGGGGGGGGGGGGGTCATGGCTACAGGAAAGATCTTGCATTGCCTCCGAGCCTGATGGACCCCCAGGGGCCCCTTTTAGAGACGATAGAAGAGACAGAAGGAAGGAAATTATTAGGATTCATAAATATGACGGGAAGAGCAGTGGTGGAGGTATGCTCCTGAACTTTAATTCCAATAACCCCAAAGTATGAGAGTGGTATTAATCTTCACCTCAAACAACATCTCCAAATGATTCCTTTCTAACAGTGTCCTGGCTGCAAGACCTATGTGGAGCGAGAAGACCTGACTGACCTCAGTGTGGCGTGCACAGTCTGCCAGGAGGACAGTGTGGAGCAGTACGTGTTCTGCTGGCAGTGTCTGAAGAAGTGGAAAGGCCCGATGCCACGCTCTGACCGCTGCGACAACGACGGCTGCGTCAACCACAACCTGGAGCTCCTCCAGAAGTGTAAGGACACGACTCTCCCTCAAGTGCAGGGCGTGGACAAGGTTCCCTCCATCCGGGCCTGCCCCACCTGCGGTCAGCGCGTGGAACACGACAGAAGCGGCTGCAAGAACATCATCTGTCCTCGCTGCCAGGTGGAGTTCTGCTTCGTGTGTCTGCAGCTCACCACCGAGTGTCTGAAGACGAGCTCCTACTTCATCCCCTGCAGAGATGGCGTGGCCCCCAGACAAACCTCCATACCTGTGTGGCACCACAACTAACAGGGAACATGCATATAGACACACTCGCTGTGCAGGCTGTACCCTTCTTGTGATTTTTCCTATTCACTGATGTTCTTACTGTAGCTTTAAGAAAAAGTTTTGACTTATATTTTCTCACTTAAACTGAAACGAATAACGAATCTCCTGTATTATCCTATAATGTTCAATACACAATGATCTAATCTCTGCTCTCTGACAGTAAATCGTTTACAACTGTATCACTTAATAAAGGTTCTTTCAAATGAGCACAAATTTCATGTCTCTTACCTGCATAATAAAATATAAAAGAACATAGTATTTCAAAAACTGTATTGATATGTAGTGAAGCTGCAAACGGGTCAAACTTTCATAATGTTCATAATCTTGATTAACAGGCCAGAGTGAACTGAATCATAAAGATCAATGATGAGCCATGAAGCAAATTCATACACAGATTCAAGGTGCTTTAACATCACAGAGAGAAAATGAAAAGAAACCAATTCTGAATCAGAAAGAACTGGTTAAAACAAGCAATACAAAAGAGTTCAGAACGAGTCGAAGAAGAGGGATAAGGATGAAGAGAAATAAAAATGAAGAACAGTTTGAGAACATAGGACAAGATGGCGACTATATACGAGGTTACCGTCAGTACATGATACAGCTGATGTTAGGGACATATCTTCAGTTGTGAAATGTGAAATTGATCTGTAAATAAAAGGGGAATAAAATATCTTGATTCATAACTTCATAATCACCGAAAACATCCAGTGTGCGACTGCATTTCCTGCTTCGACCTCATTTAATGTTGTCACTAAAATGTCGGCTAGAAATCCCCTGATGTTCCAGCAGCAGCGTTTGGCCTGAGACCAGAGCTGCTTCACATTTTCAGTTTCGTTACTGTGAATAAAGAAACCACTCCTTGACTCCATAAAGAACAGCTGCTCTAATAACAAGTTACTTTCTCTCAGCCACGTGATTTCTTGTAAGAGCATCAAGACTGAAGTAAACATAACTGATCTCAGTGCAGTGAATCACAGAAGGAGGTGTCCAGTCTTCAGTCAGCAGCTTGAGCCAATCACAGCTGAGATTAAGATCAAAACACAAAGGAGACAAACATTCAGAGAGTCATTCTTTATTTCCTGGTATGAAGGTGTGGACGTGTTTAACAACTGTGCAACATGATATCTCGTGTTTGAACCTTTGACCAAAAATACTGAATCATAAGATTACACATACATGGAATCTGTTTTGGTGTTGTTGGTGCATGTCAGACATCTCTAAGTATAAGAAGATAAGAAAATCAAGTATTCAAATGTAACAATATAAATATAAATATAAAAATATATGCACATGAAGCATGTGACGTTTGCCCGTTGTTCAAATCCAGGAATGTAGATACTTGGTTTTAAACTCGGGTTTCACCAGACTGCTTGTGGAAAATAAATGTACGACTATATTCTTGTAATATTATAACTTTTTTTTCACAATACTCTGTTGCAGAGACCAGAGAATTTCGAGTTCATGTCTGAAATCCACTTCCAATCAAACGTATCACTTGAAAATAAAACTTGTTATCGTGTCACCTCCACGGCTGTTTCTGTTTTGTCTCCTTGTGCTTTTTAATGCTTTCTCTCTTCCTCTCATGTGCAGTCTTTTCTCCAGCTGTCACAGTTTGCGAGGCCTCCAGTTTCCAGCCTTCACCGTCGTTTCTCTTCACGTTGCTTGAATGTGTCCTGAGGTCAGCAGGTTCATTCACTCTGCAGTTGATGTAGTGAATGGGGAGAACGTGACCCGGAGTTAAGATATCTTTTCCGTCTATGCTTATCTCTGCTCCTACCTCCCTTCTATTTTTCACATGTTTACTTTCTAACGGTTGGACTCTGGGGCTGCTGCCAGTCGTTCTCCATCTGTCGTCTTCTCCATTCTTGTCCCAGGTAATATCGTCGTCCTTTCTTGTCTTATTCTGGTAATTATGGGTTAGTTCAAACATACTGTCCACAAAGTGTGTTGTGATGTGCTCCGAGTTTGTTTCCAGACGTCGTCTGTTTGGCTCAAAACCTCCTTCTTTTTGCGAATTTGAAAAATGTGACTTTTCTGTCAGCAACATGTGTCCATCTACTTCAGCGTCTTTGTGTCGTCTCACCCACGCTTCTCCCTGGTTTGGCTGTTGTTCCAGTTTCCCAGAAGAGTCGCCGCAGCTCTTCTTCAAGTGATGCACGTTTTCACTTCCGCTGCAACTTTCATCACTCGGTGTACGATGAGGATCAGGAGCCTCCTCTCCCTCCGCCTCGTCGTCGACATCTGCTTGTGCACATTGAACTTCCTGATCGACTTCATCAGCATTTTCAGGTTGAGTGGTCACTTTATTGAGAAACACAAACAGCAGGTGTGTACAGACGAAGCAAGGAGTCAAACTACATTCTAAGTGAGCAACAGCCAAGAAATGTCCAGATCAGTTGGGCTGATCTAAAGAACACAGAAACTAAAACGTTAATTTTAAACATCACCTAAAAAGTAAATGTGTTGCATGTGCTTACCCTTCCTGTACAGGAGAAGATACGCTGTATAGGACCTGGTTTGAGAAGAATAAACAACAAAACTAATTCATTTCACTTGAGCAAGGCACAGAAACCTGAGTGGAATCACTACAGATTGCACTTGCATCAAAGAGGTCCCAGGTTTGATTGCAGGTAAATGGTGCATCTTACTGGGATTTGTGGGGGCTGATGCAGATATTAGTGACATATCGGTTGGGCTCTACTTCTTTCATTCCCACTCCTCACCCCGAACATCTGGATTTTCTCTGTGTAACTTTGCTGAGCTGGTGCGAAGATCAGTTAATAATATCCATAAGGTCATATCCAATATTCAGCAGGAAACTTTTTAAACATGAAGAATTCTAAACAGAGTTTGGTGGATTTGTTACAGCCGCAGATCTTCTGGTTCAGGAAGCCAGGGATCATGGGTAACATCCACCAGTGAAGCAGTTGAAGTTCTAGTCAAGAGATTGGGCTGATTAATTAAACATGAACCTCGTTTTGGTGCTAGATTAATTGTTAGGGAATAAACAAAGAACAGACTTGTAACGTCCTTCCTTCCTGCTGCTGTCAGACTCTACAATCACTGCTCCCAGTAGCATACATCTGTATACAATTTTTATAAATACCCATATTTATTATTTATCTCACTAGTAAATACACTGCCACACCCATGAATATGTCCATATGTATATAGCAGTTTATTCTTTCTATTTTCTTACCTTTAAATTATCTTGTTTATTTTTCACTATTGTTATTGTTTTTAAAAAACTCTACTGTCCTGTTGCTGCTGTGACAAAGAAATGTCCCCGTTTGTGGGACAATAAAGGGATTCTGATTCTGGCAATTTACCTCACTGAGTTTCCAGATCCAAAGAGTGGTTTGACCTGTAGAATAGAAGAATATCAGTCACTCAAATGCGGATTTGTTCGACTTTATGTTAGCATCAGTAAATTGGACAGGAAATGAAAAGACAAGCCTCCTCACCATGTCAACAATGTCGTCATCGAAGCAGTACCACTCCCCCGTTTCAAAAGATTTGATCTCTGCAGTGTAATGACCTCCTGTGAGATTCCCAACGTGGTGAACTAAAGCGTAGAGGTCATATTTGCAGTCCTGCAGAGAGGGAAATAAAACAACCGATTTAAGAAATGTTAAATTAAACGAATTCTCCGCAAAATGTAAAATATATACTCATCTAAAAGAAACACCTGCATGTGCAAGGTTTGGGGCACATCGACTTCACAGTGAAGCTTGACGAACTGTCTGCACCCGTAGTCGAAGGCAAATCTCTTCAGCAGGAGGGCGAGAATCTTTGGGTTCTCTGTCATCTCACAGTCCTGAAGCACAAAGTGAAAACATCAGCATTACACAATGTCACAAGTCACAAGTCACAAACTCAACTATTATCCAATACAGATCAAAAGACTCACGATGACTGCGTCTTGCTTCTTATCGCACTGGGTGCAGTACATCCTGTTTTCCCCATAGACTTTTTCTTTACTGAAGAACGCCATCAACCCTCGCTCCTGTAAACGTTTTATATTTATTCATTCTGCAAGTTCTTGTTATTTTTTACTTTAAATGAAAAATACACTTTCTCCCATTCTTGTTAAAATATGACACAGTACCACGCTG